GTGTGTGGGGGTGTGGGGTGTGTGGAGATGATATGGGGAGTGTGTGGGGTGTGTCTCTGATCCCAGACAGGGCCTGTCTGTACTCAGGTGGAAATACCCCACCCCCAGCATGTGCTTTCCTGGGGCAGAGAGGCCAGCCCATCAGATGGGACAGGTAGCTTCCTGGACACAGGTTCATCTGAAGACTCCTGGACAAAAAGGGAACAGACCCAAGATTTGCTGCCTCCCACAAGGACAGATCCTCACTCATGTACGTGACCCTGAATTAATGTGACCGAGGCTGACTGCTTGGAAATAAACTCCAAATGTGCTAGACTGTGGATGCTTAATTAAAAGGCAAGGCCTGGCAGGACTGTTTTTAGAACGTGAAGTTATGCACGGTGAGACGCCCAATGGCAGCATGAAGTTTAGTGTAGCCGGGGCCGCTTCCCGCAACCTGGGCCCCACGGATGGATGGGCTCCCGCTTTGTCAGGAGCTTTGGTTTGCCTTCCTTTTCTCAGCACGGATTCTGGCTCCGAGGTCTATTCTCTTGCCTCCTTCTCTTAACATTAAGAGACTGGACCAGCAGAAAAACAGCCGCACAATGGGAATGTCAGCCTCAGGGACTTAGGCTTAGGGTTGAGAACGTGGGCTGTTCTAGGAACTCACCGACCCTGACAGTGCGGCGGGTATAAACCAGGGTCTGTTTACAGCACACTGGGTGTGTGCCTGTGCCTGTGTGTAGGGAACAGGTCACATTAACTTGAACGGGGACATTTTTAGTAGTGAGAAGATGAAGATTGAGTCAGCAACATTTTCTAGCCAACAAAGATGCCTGCATCTCTACATAGAGAGAAGAAGTCAGCAGTGGAAGCACAGGGTGGCCAGTCTGCAAATCCATCAAGGATGGCATTTGATTTTTGGGGCTCGATGGTGAGCAATTGGCGAGTAGCAGGTATAGAATTCAGAACGCTCTATACTCACGTAAGATGCCAGTATAAGACATACAGAAGAGCAAAGTTACAAGTTAGACTACAAAAGTAAACTTTCAGAAGCAGCGACAAGCTTCTGGCCAGGCGGGGGAAAATTCAAACTTTAGATCGCCACGCTCCACTGAGCAGCTGGCCTGTGATCAGGAAGCGTAAGCGGGCTCGTGGCTTCAGTTTCATCGAGACAGAGCGAGAGTCCACCACAGGAAATACCCTCAGCGTCTCTAGACTGATTCAGAATCACACTGCCGTGGCGTGGCTGCTCTTCAAGTTAGTGGGAAAACCAGAGCGACTCCTCTGCGTCTTTAGCATTTCCAAAGGCAAAGTGCTTGGCAAGGCCTATTAACTTAGTATCTGAACAAATCACAATACTAAGGGCTGAGAGAAGCCAGTCCTAGACACAGGGTTGAATGCCCCATGTCTGGTGGGTTTTCCTTGGTCTAACAGTAAGATAAACCGTCATTTTCTATGCACCAAAGGCTTACAATGCTTACTTAAGGCCACACCTAGGCTGGAGTTTAAATCCCTGTGGGATTCCCAAAGCACACACAGTGGGTGTCTGCCCTAATACCTGTGCTCTCAGAAGTACAGCTTAGCTTCTCTTGAGCATGTTAAACACGGAGCTTCACATGACAGACTCATGACTAATGTTGCCCCTCTCCGCGAGGACCTTGCCGTCCCCAGTGTCTGGGGAGAGTCTGTTCTGGCTCACAGGCCATCTTCATGTCCGTTCATCTTCGGGTCAGATGCTGGAGGATTGGTGAGCTGCTCAGGTGGCCGCTGGGCTCTGACCTCCTGACCTCAGCAGCCGACAGGAATGCTCCTCTGAGCACTGGCTCACGCTGTCGTGGGACTGACCGCTCGGTGGCATAAGAAACGTGCAGCGTGACAACATTCAAGGACAATCCTTCCTCAGCCTGGTTTCTGACTACTGCTTTGGTCTTCCCTAGGGAGGGATGGGCCTCAGAGGTCAGAGAGAGCGATCTGTGTGCTGTCTGGGGCTGAATGTCCCGAATCAACGCCTGCACTGCAACTCTTCTTCATGCCATGTTACTCAAAGACGAGCTACCCCGGGCCCAAGTGAGGTTCCCCTGCAGGCCTCACAGCCCTGTCCATCATCACACAGAGGAGGGCCTGCCCATCTGTCTCCCTGCCCAACAGGGTATGGATGAAGGCATTGCTCCAGAGCCTATACCCAAGGGGAACAGGGTGGGTTCTCTATTCCATTTCTCCCACCTTGAGACTCTTGGTTGGTTATCTTGTTTTGTGGTTGGTTTCCAACAACCATACACCACTTCCTATTTGAAGGTAGTGAGGAATCCCAAGGAATCTCTGCACAGCCATCAGCAGCCCCCACACAAGCTGGCTGAACTTGCTCCCCGAGTCGAAAGGGGTTTAGCCACCACTCTGCATGTCACCACACTGTCACCACAGTGGCTCCCACTGCCCTGCCCATAGTCAGCTGTGTTTGCAGACGGGATCCTCATGGGAGAAGTCAAGATTAAACGAGGTCAGGGAGTGGGCCCTACTCCCACAGGGCTGCTGTCCTCACAAGAAGAGGACGGAAAGTAGCGCTCTCCAGCTTTCCCCCTTCACAGAGGAAAGGCCACGAGAGGACACAGGGACGTGGCCAATTACAGGAGAGAGAGGACTTACTAAAAACAGACCCTGCCAGCAACCTGACCTTGAACCCAGCCTCTAGCATCCCTGAGGCACAACACACACCTCTTGTCACGCCGCCCTCCGGTGCTGCCCCGTCATGGTGGTCTGAGACGACGAAGCACATAGAACAGTACACCATGGTGCTGATGCTGGAGGGAGCTGACCAGTTATGAAGGGATCTCACACAGCATGAAGCTAAGTTCCTGTGCTGGGATCTAGTTTCATGGCATCCATCACACAGGCCCCAGCTTTCACAGAAATAATACATTTAGTCCAGAAGCCCACAGATCTAAAGATAGCCGCTTTCTCCCACAGATCGCTGATGTGAGCCTCCTGTCTCTTCTCTGTGTGTCCCCGGGAGGACTGTCACGGCCCAGCATCTCACAACGAGAGAGGGGTCCACACTACAGAACCCTGACGGCTACTGAAGTGGATGTCACATGAGGAATAGTGAGAATCGGTCCTGTCACTGACACCTTTCTGCTAAGCAGAGAATCAGGAAGACCGAACGGGTGTACAGGTTCTTCTCTAAGGGAGCATCCTCCACACAGGCTCTCTGGAGTCAGATGGGATCAGCCCAGCTGGGAAGAACTGGCACATACCTGTGGGGGTCCTTGCAGTAAACTCGGGGTCAAAGTGGAAGGTGTCCTCAGGCCTGCCCACTGCAGGCTTGAAGGGTGGCTTGATTTCCTTGCGGTACAGCTTCTGCAGGAAGAACAAGACAGATGTGGAGAGCAGGCCACGGAGAGCAGAGACCAGAGGCCACAAGCAGCTCGCACACTTCCAAGACGTATGATGAGGCGCAATGCCGATGGTGTGTGTTATCTATATAACTCTCTATATATAACGCTATATCCCACTGTGTGTGTTACATAGAAGACCATATATATAGCATGGAAATGACATGTTAGATGTGAATTACTAAAGGAATAGTTTGAGGTTTAAAGGTTTGAGATCTGCTGAATGTCCTTCAGTTTAGTGGAATAGTTTTCTAACTGGTTTTTGTCTACAAGATTTTTATCTCCAAGCAAATATCATAGGTTGGCCATACATGCTGAGCACTGGTGGCTGTGGGATCCCACCATGGAGCCTACTTCAGCTCTCTGGGGACTCTGAAAACTGAGGCCCAGAAAAACCTTTGCTCACATTGCTCTTCCCACTGCCATGGCCATTGTCAAAACACACAGATTGTCCATGGATCCTTCTCAGACCTGCTGCTGAGACCTGCTTTCCAAACCCAAAATGTGCTTTTCAATCCTCTGTGGAGATGACACTGCATGAGATAATTTAAGGACAGTGCACACATATTTGGGATCTGGCAAGGTACCTGTGATGGACATTGTGGATGGGTGAAGAGCCAGGGTACCTAGGGCCAGAGACAGGCAAGAAGGGGTGTGAAGGAAGAGGCAGACAGCATGGGGAGAGCTGAGATTCTGGAATAATTCATGCCCACCCTGAGGGAAGGGATGGAGGTGGGATCTCATGGTCCAACTCATTATTTTTAGTCATCTCATTTGTCCCTCGGTGTCAAGATGACATCGGCTTGGCATTGACATTGAGATACAGTTCACATTGTACAAACGCTGAGGATGATGAGCAGGTACATCAGGGCCTGCATACACCTCCGAGGCCTTGTGGAAAGTGAGCAAAGGGCAGAGAGCGCAGACCAAGAATGGAGACTGCGGAGAGAAGAGGAAGCTGGCTCTACCTTGAGGTCACAGACCCCAACATCTGCTTCATGTGCAGTTTTGGCTGTAGGCATTTTGAAATTAATCTGCTCCAATGAGCGAAGGGCACAGATGTGCCATTCCTGAAATGGCGATGCAGACATGCAAGCATAGAATGTGGCAGCATGGGGGGAATGGGGGGATGGGAATGATGTCCAGGGCATTGTGGATGGGCTGTGCCAGTGTCTGTGAGGGAGAACATGACCTCTCCAAGTCTACCCCACCTAAGACATGTTGCAAAGCTGTCTAGATCTGCAAAGCCCCCAAGCAGAAGGTACTGTGGCCACAGCCCTCCTGGGGACTTTGGAGGGGTGAGCTCTCCTGGCGCATTCACCACAGGAGGAAGAGGGAGCAAGAGCACATGACGGAAACCCAATTACCAAACACTGGATGTACCACAGGTGCAGTGAACCACTGTCCTCCACCTGCTCCAGCCAGTGCATGGGATAGCCAAGGCCACCAAGCAGCATACTGCTACCCACAGAGTCACCTAAGCACTCTGTGGCTCAGTTTCTCTTCAGGGTCCTTCTCACCTCCCAGAAAAACAGATGATGTGCTGAGTTGGAAATGCAAAAAAGCTCTACAAGCATGAGTCACTCACAGTAACAGTTAACAGTAATGGTGGCCACGCCTGCCCAAACCGTATGCCGAGGGTCTGGGCTTTGGCTTCGGACAGTGGTCTGGAAACAAGCAACTTGGCGGGAACCTCCACCCTGCCGCCCTGGGACTGAATCTGATGAAGTATTGTTCTCTGCCTGTCCGAGTGCCGTTTCACCCAGGGTCTGCTTGCTAGAAGCCGGCTGGCGGGATGCCAGTGTGTACTGGCTTGCTTAGCCTGTGAGGTCACCTCTATGTTTATTTCGGGTTTGTGCTAATCCGGAGTTCTCAACATTGCTTCAGCCACGGGGGAAAAGTAAACACAGCTCACATTTGCCGGCTCCACCGCCCTCTGCACGAGCTTCCTGGTCTATAATTAACTTGTAATTTTTCACTTAGCTAGGCAAGTGGCATGGGTGTTTGAAGGGCAGACCCCAGAGCCGGTACTGATGTGCTGGGAGCAGAGGGCAACGGGAAAGGCAGGGAAGCCACAGAGACCTGCCACCCTCCACCTGCTTCAGCTAACACTGTGACCCTCGCTTCTGGGGTAGGTGACACTCTCTGTGCCAACAGGTCACCACATCCCCAGGGGACAGCTGGTGGATGGCAAGTGTTTACTTAAACAACGTAGAAATATATGCTGGTAATTTTGGGGTCACAGAAGGCAGCAGAAAGCAGAATAATAGATAGGCTGGTGTTTTCTCAGCTGCATCCTGAGGCTGCACCTGGTTGAAGCCCACAGGCAGGAACCTGATGCCTGCAAATGTCTTCTCCTTTGTCGGTATGAATCCCCACACTCCTATGGGGGGAAGGAAGGGGGAGCCCTGGTGAAGTCCTTGAGAACATGGGACTTGGTGGTCTTCAGTGATCTGAGCTACTGACAACAAGAAGGTGCACAGGACAGTGCAGAGCTCAGTCTGACAGCCTGGTGCACACAGGTCCACAGACTTCCTGAAGCATGATGTGTCTATGTGTACGGTGGGGTCAGGTCACTCATGGCCCTGCTGTGGCCACACAAGGGCGGCATCTGGACCGCTTGTGAGGGAAAGGACAGCTGGGACAGAGGGATAGGTCAGATCAGAACAGCCATGCCAAGGCCTCCACGTTGGCTACCAAGGCCTCTAGATCCTGAACACAGGTCTTTCGAAACTGTTCACACCTGTGTTCTTAGCTGGGCACAGTCCTTCCTTCCTCCCGGTTCCCTCTCCTGGTTACTTCCTACTTACCTTCTCCCTGCTTGTTTTCTCTGCACTGGATACTCACACACTACCGCTGTGGCTGAACAGCCACCTCATGGTGCACCAGACACCTCTCCCCTGTCTAGGACAGGGCTCCTTCCCAGCACCATGCTACTGGCACCTCACTTCTACTGCACCCAGGCAGGCATGCTATAAACACTGCTCACGGCTAGATAAATTAGCACCAAAGCAGGCTTCTGGCTCCTCTACCGCACAGAGCCATAGAAGAAAGAAGGCTGTCATCGCTGCAGGCTCTGCGGGTTCTGTCTGGCAAGGACAGGGTGAGGATAAACAGATGTGGTCCTAGTGACCCCGAAGGGCCTCTTTTAGAGCCAAACAAAATAAAACCAAATACCAAAGGAAACAAACAACAACAATAAAAAGCCCTTCCCCACATTATTCTAGCCTGAATTAACTTCAAATGATACAGAAATGCCACTCCTTAGTACAGGAATCCAAGGTCTGTGTTTGCACTGAAGGGACATTGTTCTCCAGAGGCAAGCTCTGAGCTGGCGTGGTCTCTGGACAGTGCACATGGCTGCAGAAGGGATCCCACAGCCCTAGCCTTCTACAGCACACACTAACCCAGCCTTGCCACAGTGTGATGGTTAGCGTCATTTGTCAACTTGATACAACCCAGATTAGCATAGGAAGAAAAGTCTCAGTGAGGGGCTGGTCTACAGTGGGTTGGCCTATGGGCATACCTGTGGAAGATCGTCTTAATTAACTTAATTGATGTGGGAAGACTCAGCCCACTGTAGGTGGCATCATTCCCTAGGTGGGGTGGGGGTGGGGTGTCCTGAACTGTATTAAGAGTTGAGAAACCGAGCTGGTCACAATCAAGGAGCATGCCTGCTCTCTTTTCCTGCTCTTGACTTGATAAGATACAATGTAACCAACTGTCTCAAGTTCCTGCTGCCTTGACTTCTGACCAATGAGCTGTAACCTAGAACTAGGAGGGGAAATAAGCCCCTGACTTCTCCACGTTACTTTCTGCCCAACTATTTCACCCTAACAACGGAAACAGAACAAGAACTCTGGGTTCCAGACCCATTTGCAACTCAAATCCTAGAAACCTCAATCAATACTCACACACCCCTGTGGCCATTGCCTGTTCTAGGACGCCTTTAGATTGTCGTTCACGGAAGTTCCTTCTCAGCCAGGTCCTCTGAGGGGGTGCCACCTGTGCGCCACCACCTGTGAGCATGACTGGGGATTTCCCTTTCTTTCCAGGACTGAAGTTATCTCCACCCCGGCAACTCCCTGCCCACCCTCCCCGACTCAGCAACTCCCTCTCCATTTCCTGGCAGGGTCTTTGGAAGGTCTTTGGCAGTATACACCACAGAGAAAGGGAGGGAGAGAGAGAGAGAGAGAGAGAGAGAGTGTGTATGTGTTTGCATGTGTGTGTATGTGTGTGTTTGCATGTGTGTGTGTTTGCGTGTGTGTGTGTGTGTTTGCATGCGTGTGTGTTTGCGTGTATGTGTGTGTGTTTGCATGTGTGTGTGTTTGCATGTGTGTGTGTGTATGTGTGTGTTTGCATGTGTGTGTGTGTTTGCATGTGTGTGTGTATATGTATATGTGTATGTGTGTGT